GTGTCTCAGATAGAGGGGAGTGAGAGAGGGATTAGAGTGTCTCAGATAGAGGGGAGGGAGAGAGGGATTAGAGTGTATCAAATAGGGGAGAGTGAGAGAGGGTTTCGAGTGTCTCATATGTGGGAAATCTGAACTCTGGGATTTGTCGAGGGCTCATGTCCTGTTTGAAGTGTATACAATTTCTGGATTGATTGTTGTATTATGTCTCCAACTGTCTGGTAATGTATTGAGTTGCTGATACAAGCTCAATGCTTGGCTGCTCTCAAACTCACCTCTTTAAGTACAGCCTCAGGCCTTGCACAGTTGTGGATTCTCCCCACGAATGCAGGCCTTTCTAGAACACAGGGCTTTGAACTGGTATCTCCCAATTTTTCTCACTCACCATTCACTTTGGTGAGATGAGCTGTCTGAGAAGTGAAATAGATTTGGTGTTGAGCCAGTGATAGGAAACTGCTTAGAGTGTACCGCAGTGATTAGGAGGGAGTAACAATAGAAGTCTTTCGAGAAACAAAAGTCTGTAGCAAGATTTTGTTTGCCCTCTGTCTGCTTTGCTCTCTTGAATGTAGTAATAATTATCTGTGAGTGCCTGTGACCTTGATATTTTGTTGCTGTCACCTCACTGTTGTGTTGCGTTTTGTTCTAATTCCACCTGATGTTTTTCCGGTCCCCATTCGGTTCCAGGAGGGAATTTCGGAGGCACAAACACATGTCTATCTGGGAGGCCAGAACCAGCCAGCTGAGGAGACGGATGCAGATGAGCAGCCACGAGGCCCTCTTTGCTGAGGCTTTGCAAGGGCTGGAGGGGAGCAGGTACAGGAGGCACCGTTCCAGGGTCTATGAGGGTGAAAGCCTCCGGCGTCTGGCTGAGCAGAGGGCCAGGGAGGCCGGAGAGGGAGAGGCTGGTAAGCGAGAGGGCTTTAAGAGTCTGTCGCTTCGCAACAACTGGCAACCCACGGGAGAGAACAAGGAAAGCCCTTCCCCCAAAGTCAACGGCGACCAGGAGTGCAACCAGGGCAAAGCCTATAACCGGCAGGCAGAGAGCAGGCAGAGCCTCACACTGGACGAACCCGCAAGGCTGAAGAGGAGGTACCGATCGCTGTATAAGGAGGCCAAGCTGGGCCTGGAGGAAAGCGACGAGACCAATCTCAGCCACAACAGGGCCAGCAACAGCAAAGAGGACGGGCTGCCTCCGCCCAAGGAGCAAGAGGAGACTGGCCCGCCAAGCCACAGCCCCAAGGAGAAAGGTGCCCGTGAGCCGACAAAGGCACACTCCTGGAGAGGGAGACCCCACACAAGGTCAGAAACTTTCGGAATTCCTGCCACTTGATCTGTACTGTTTCATTCTTTCTCTATGGGGGTGGGTGTTGCTCATCCCTGATTGCCTTTAGCACGGCTTCTACAGGGGGCTGCTAAGACTCCGCCCCATTGCTGTGGCTCTGGAGTCCCAAGGAAGGATGGCTGAATGAATCAGTTGCACCAATCAACAACAGTTGTCTCTATTACTAAGACTAGCTTCAAATTCCAGAATGCGTTCATTCAGTTTAAAATCAGCTGCAGAGCTGGGCTTTGAACCCTTGTCAGCCCCTACCTGTGGATTTCTCATCTAGTAGCTTTGCCAATGCACCACCTACTCTCTATCAGAGGGAGTCGCCATGCCCAAGATTTGAACTCCAACATATGTTAATTGGCAATAATGGCGGGGAAAGTACCCAGTATGCATTGGGTGGCTGTTTCCCTTTCCTCCTGGGTTTCCTTCTTCAAGTGTACAGGAAGCTTAATTCCCAGGGAGTCCAGGACTGCTGTTTTAGAACCCTGTTTGAACCTAACTTGGTTGATTCTCACCGCAGTATAACTGCCTCAGCTCATAGTGACGAAGTTTTAACCACTTCCTTTAGATCCTTATAAGTTCACATCTCGCGAAACCTCCAGAAATAAATGAAAGTTTTAAAAGGTCTCTCTGATTCTAGTGTGTGTTAACAAGTCACTTGTGGCTGTGTCTTCCTGTTGCCTGAGAGATCTTTTCTGGAAGTTTTGCTCCTTTTCGACACTGCTTTTTAACTAGGCTGGTGATTATCTGCCTTGCTTAGCCTTGGTAAGCATTTTTCTCTGATAGTGTTACTATTGAGAAGGTTCTGTCACCGGTTGGCCTTGTGAGGGTGTTCAGTGTCAGGATCTGATAAGTTTGCAGAGTGTAAAGCTGATTCTCAGTGAGCTGTTCGCTCACGCAGAAGCTCGTTCGAGCTCTGGCTTTCCCACTGTGTCCCAGGCAGAAGGTTCAGGGGAAACTGGACAAACCCCTTTTCACCAACTCCCTTTAACAGTGCCCTCCAGTGCCCACCAGAGGGCAGCATGGTGGCTCAGTGGTAAGTGCTGCTGCCTCACAGTGACGGAGACCCGGGTTCGATTCCAGCTTCGGGCGACTGTCTGCGTGGAGTTGCATCTTCTCCAGGTTCCTCCCACTGTCCATAGATACGCAGATTAGGTAGATTGGCCAGGCATGTGCAGGCCAGCCATGGGAAATCCAGGGTTACAGGGATTTGGGGCAGGGGTGGGGCTTGCTTTGGTTGGGAGGGTGGACTCAATGGGTCAAATGGCCTGCTTCTGCATTTGGAGGGATTCTAGTAGACAGTGGGGTAGGGACTTGACAAGCATCTACATTGGAACATCGGGAGGTTATACTGATGTGAGGTCGGGGGTGGTTAATGTCCTACCAGTCATTACAGAATCACCAGAATAGTGATGGTGCAGAAAGAAGCCTGGGCTCTCCAAATGACCATTGTGACCTAGTAACTTTCCCCTTCTCTCTAGGAAAGGGCTGGAGTTGGGGGAGTGACAATAGCACCCGTCCTGGAACTGATCTGTAGGTGCTGACATCCCCAGAGCTCAGTACGGGCAGCAACACGATTCTCGCTCTGCATGTGGAGGGAGGCCATTGCCAGTGTTGTCTGAGCGGTAGCTGACCTGGCGAATGAGACTGGCTCCAGGGGAGGGGGTTGGGGTAAGAGGAGGGAGGGAAGGATTTGGCAGAAGGTGCTTCAAGTGACTTGTCTCCACTATCCACCCACAGCCGCCTGAATCAACAGTCGGGCGCCAACACGAACATACCCACAGCGCAAGTGGGGGCAGAGAGCGCCAGAGTCGCAGGGAGTGAAAATCCAGACAGTACGAGAAACAGCAAGATCGATAAGCAGCAAATCAACGAGCAGACCAGCTTGCTCAATCTGCAGCTGGATCTAAAAAACACGCCCGCATCGCCGCGGCTGACTGAGTCGGCAAGTTGCAATAACCGGGACCAGGATAAGTCTCGTGATCAGACGGAGGTCGATGTGGACTGCGAAAACACTGAGACCCCCATGGATTCCCTCGTCGCACCAGGTAGGAGCATGTACGTTTGCAGAGAGGCGATTGGAAAGACACAAATGTGTTCCACCTCAAACCCCAACACACCGTCCTTCCACGCCCCCAACATTCTAACTCCAGTCTGCCTGGCCCTGGGGACCGATGTGAAGATTATTGGCATAGCGAGGTTAATCTGCTCCAATCTCACCAGCCCACGTGTGAACGTAATAAAGGATTGAAATCCAACCAGTTTATCTACATGGTGGTAATCCTGAGTGACTGCTGGTAGAACTGATGGGAAGAGCTGTATAAGGTCCAAGATTAGGTTCGCATTGAGATATTTTTTAAACAACCTGCTCAGGGATAGTATTACACACCTCTGGAGCAGGTAGGAGTTGAATCCAGGTCTTCTATCTGAGGTAGGGACACTACCATTGTGCCGCAAGAGCCCTTAGGTTCATACCAGGAGGATTGGATAGCAAACCTCACACCTTTGGACCTGTAGAGGGACTCAATCCGCATTTAGTTACACACAGCTGTCACAATACTTCACAAAGCTCATCTAATTGGTGCCAGTTGCTACTGGTACCCAGGAATGAATGTGCAGCTGATTTTAAACTGAATTGCTACTGGTACCCAGGAATGATGTGTTTTGGGGGCTTGTCACCGGTAGAGAAGGGGTGCATCATGCATGAAATAGGAAAATACATTGTGTGTTACAGCGGAATCTTTTGGTAATTTAGATAAATGTGCTTTGGGTAGAGTAGATAGGAGGTTAGCGTCTCTATTCAACAATTTATTTATTGCAAAGATAAAGAGGAATGCTGGTGAAAAGTCAGTAATCTGGAATGTTAATTCAGTTTTCCCTCTATAGATGCTGTGGTTATGCTGAGTATTTCCAGCATTTTCTGCTCTTATTTCAGATTTTCAGCACCTGGAGTAGTTCATCATTGAAACCAGATACTGCCTGCTGTAAGAGTTTGTTGGGCCGTGTTGGAGAAACTTCACATTGTATCTAACCCTGTGCTGTCCCTGTCCTGGGAGCGTTTGGAGGGGAAGTGTAAGCGGTGTTTTACTCTGTATCTAACCCCATGCTATCCCTGTCCTGGGAAGAGTGTAGAGAGTGTGGATTCACAATTGTGTTGCAGTATTTTATGTGTGTGTTACATTATTAAAGAGACAGAACATATTTGAACAGAGCGTTGTGAGCACACATTAGCCGCAGTTACATGAGTTCCAACACAAGTGGTGTCAGCCAGCATTGCTGCTGCTATCAAGTGCCATCTATCTAGTCAGAATTAACAAGTAACTGCCAATACAGGTGATCTAAAAGAAACACAGAATATGTAGGAAGTGCTAAGCAAGTCAGGCAGTATCTGTGGAAGGAGAAACAGGGGTCACATTTCAGAGTGAGGGCTCATTTTTGTCAGCTATCACTGAGCGGTTCACCTCACCAGATTTCGCACGAGCCTGATGAACGATCAAATACAAGAGAAAGTCATTCCATTACATTCTCCACAAATTCTTCATCAATCTGTGTTTCTCTCTGTGGCTCTCAGTGTCTCTTTGTGTTGTTCTCGGTGTCTCTCTGTGACACTGTCGCTGCCTCTGTGTCATTCTCAGTGTCGCTCTGTCCCTCAGTGTCGGTCGGTGCCTGTCTCTCTCTCTCTCTGTGGCTTACTATGTCACTATCGGTGGCTCATTATGTCACCATCGGTGGCTCACTGTGTCACTTTTGGTGGCTCTATATGTCATTCTCTATCACTCTTTCTATCTTTCGGTGTCATTCTGTCTCTTTTCGGTGGCTCACTGTGTACCTCTCCATATCCCTCTGTGTCACTCACGGTGTCCAATTGGGACTGTCTCTGTGACATTCCCAGTGGCTCTCTGTGTCGCTGTTGATGTGTCTCTCATTCTGTGTCGCTCTCGGTGTCTCCCTGTGTCACACTCGGTGTCTCTCTGTGTCACTCTCTCTGTCACTCTCGGTGCCTCTCTGTCTCTCTCTGTCTTTCTCTATGTCACTCTCGGTGTCTCTCGCAGAGTCTCTCTCTGTGCCACTCTCGGTGACTCTCTGTGTGTCTCTCTATGTCACTCTTGGTGTCTCTCTCAGAGTCTCTCTGTGTCACTCTCGGTGTCTCCCTCTGTGTCTCTCTCGGTGCCTCTCTGTGTCTCTCTCTGTGTCACTCTCTGTGTCTCTCTGTTTGTTCTCTGTGTCTCTGTGTCTCTCTCAGTGCCTCTCTGTGTGGTTTTTGTGTCTCTGTGTCGCTGTCAGCATCTCTCTGTGTGGTTCTTGGTCTTAACTGTGTCTGCATAGAATTACTGTTTGTTTCTCTCAGAGGAAATGAATAACAATGAGGAGGTGTATTGGCTCTAATAATCATGTTCAGGTGGAGGTAAACACCATGGGCAGAAAATGTTGATGGGAGTTGTTTACAGAGCCCCAAACAGTGGTGGAGACGCATTCCCGAAGTGCACAACAGTAATCGTGGGTGACTTGAAGCTAAATATAGGTTGGACAAACCAAACTAGAGGAGATTTATTGGAATATATACGTGTTAGGTTGTTTTGACCAACATTGTTAAGGAACCAACTGGCGAGCAGGCTATCCTGCACTGGGTGTTATGCGTTGAGAAAACATTATTTAACAAACTTGTGGGTTCCATTTGGGAAGAGTGACCATAAAAATGATAGAATTGTACATTCAGATTGAGAGTGAAGAAGTTGAATCCAAAAACTCAGGTCCTGAATCTAAATGTAAGTAATTACGAAGGCCTTGAGGATTGAGTTGGCGATGATATATTGGGAAGCCTTACTAAATGGGCTGGCAATGGATTGGTAATGGCTAGTATTTTTCAGAAATGTGTGCACAAAATGCAACAAGTATTCATTCCAATTTGATGCACAGACATAACAGGAAAAGTGGCTCAACCATGGGTTACCAAAGAAATTAGAGACAATCTTGGATCCCAAGAGGAAACTACAAAATAACCATTTAAAAAAAAAACAGGAAACCTGGCGAATGGGAGCATTTTGCGCTCCATCAAAAGAGGGGATAAAAGTAAAAGAAAGGGGGACATTGAGTATGAGAGTGAATGAGCAGGGAACACAAAAAGTGACTGAAAGCCTCTATAAAAATGTGAATAAAATAAAGTTAGTAAAGAGAAGTGTAGATCCCGTACAGACAAATTATAATGGGGAATAAAGAAATGGAAGAAAAAGTAACAGATACTTTGTCCTGTCTTTTCAAAAGAGGATACAAGTAACCCCCCTCCCCCCAACATGTTAAGGAACCAAGGGTCCAGTCAAAAGATGGGGACTGAAGAAAAACAGTATTAGTAAGAAAATGGTGCTGGGAAAATTAATGGGCTTAAAGGCTAAAAATCACCAGAACCCGATCATCTACATCCCAGAGTACATAAGGAAGTGGCCCTGAAAATATTAGATGTATTAATGGTCATCTTCTAAAATTCTATAAGCTCTGGAGCAGTTCTTACAGAATAGAGGGTGGTAAATGTAACCCCACTGTTTAAAAAGAGAAGGAGAGAAAATAAGAGAATTATAGACTAATTAGCCTGACATCCATTTCCAAAAATGTAGTATCAGAACATTTGGAAAGCTTTAACTGGACTAGACAAAGCCAGCATGGGTTTATAAAAGGCAAACCATGTTTAATAACTCTGCTGAAGTGTTCTGGGGATGTTAACTAGTTGAATAGATAAGGGAGAACAAGTCAATGTGGTGTATTTGGATTTTCATAGGTTTTTGGTAAGGTCCTTCATAAGATGTTGGTGGGAAAAGTGACAGCACATGAGATGGGGGTATTACATTGGTGTGAATTGAGAATTGGTTGACAGACAAGAGACAGAGAATGGGGATAAATGGTCTTTTTTCTGAGTAGCAGAGATTGACTAATAAGGAACCCCAGTGATTCATGATATATATAAATGACTTGGATGAGGGAACCTTCACACTTTGGTGTGAAAAACAGGAAGAAAGAGTATTATTTAAACGGTGATATTTTGAGGAGTATAAATATACAAAGGGATCTGGGTGTATTGTACAGCAATGAAAATAAACAGGCAGGTGCAGCAAGTAATTAGGAAGGCAAATAGTATATATTTTAAAATTCATTCATGGGGTACGGATGTTGTTGTCAAAGCCAGCATTTATTGTCCATCCCTAATTTGCCCTTGAGAAGGTGGTGGTGAGCTTTGTTCTTGAACCGCTGCAGTCCATGTGCTGTAGATAGACCCACAATGGCCTTACGCAGGCAGTTCGAGCATTTTGACCCAGCGACAGTGAAGGAACAGCGATATATTTCCAAGCTAGGATGGTGAGTGGCTTGGAGGGGAGCTTGAAGGTGGTGATGTTCCCATTTATCTGCTGCCCTTGTCCTTCTCGATGGTGGGGTAGTGTGTTTGGAAGGTGCTGTCTGAGGATCTTTGGTGAATTTCTGCAGTGCATCTTGTAGATAGTACACACTGCTGCTACTGACCGTCGGTGGTGGAGGGAGTGAATGCTTGTAAATGTAGTGCCAATCAAGTGGGCTGCTTTGTCCTGGATGGTGTCAAGCTTCTTGAGTGTTGTTGGGGCTACGCTCATCCAGGCAAGTGGGAGTATTCCATCACACTTCTGACTTGTACCTTGTAGATGGTGGACGGGCTCTGGGGAGTCGGGAGACGAGCTACTTGCTGCAGTATTCCTAACCTCTGACCTGCTCTTGTTTCCACTGAATTTTTATGATGAGTCCAGTTTTGTTTCTGATCAATGGTAACCCCAGGATGTTGATTGTAGGGGATTCAGTGATAGTAATTCTATTAAATGTCAAGAGGCAGTGGTTAGATTGTCTCTTGTTGAAGATTGTCATAGCCTGGCATTTGTGTGGTGCAAATGTTACTTGTCACTGTCAGCCCAAGCCTGGATATTGTCCAGATCTTGCTGCATTTGGACACAGACTGCTTCAGTATCTGAGGAGTCACAAATAGTGCTGGACATTATGCAATCATTGGTAAACATCCCCCACTTCTGACCTTATA